AGTAGTAGTATAATACTAGTACTTACGTTACTAATTATAGTGTACTACGTAGTAAGTTAGTTAGTTGTTGTGTGTGTGTGTGTGTGTGTGTGTGTGTGTGTGTGTGTGTGTGTGTGTGTGTGTGTGTGTGTGTGTGTGTGTGTGAGGATGAGATTACACAGAATATGTCAGGTGTTTTAAAATATTTATCATCTTTTCTTTATTCACACGGTGCTAATGAGCAACAGCTCTGTAGAACAAGCTGCAGTTCCTCTAACGGCCACTAGATGGAGACTCTAAATGTAAATTATCTAAACAAAATTAACTTTTATTTATTTATAAAAATCAGCCTTCCATCTGTGCACAAACTTATCTCCTGCCCTCATTGGTCATGTGCGCGTTTGTGTGTGTTGGAGGAGGGGCTCTGTGAGGAAGTGGCAGATTTCTTCCGGCTGTGTATTTTCAAATTCTAGCGCACCCGGTTTCTCCAAAATGACCTACCCCACCTTTAATTGTAATATATATATATTTCTTTCTAAGTTTTTGGTTGAGATTATAAAAAATAATAACTGTGCATGCTCCAAAAAAGCAAAAAGTAAATACATAAATGTTTTCAACTTAATAAATACATATTGTATAAAATTTGCTTGGTTGGTAAAAAGCAGCAGGAGAAAGTTAACACTCGATAGGATCTGAAGCTAATTGATTAAAATACTAATTATTTCCCAATTCATTACTTTTTTAATCTAAAAAATGCCAGAAAAGAGACCCGGTATGATTTCCACACCCAAAACTAATGCGTTTAGATATATACGCTTATATTTGTTGCACACTACCTTTAATTAAATGTCCTTCTTAAAGAGTCTCTATGTAGAGTCATTTATTTCTTTGATTTTGTTTAGCTTTAAAGTAAAAAGTCATTTTGTCCAATGACAGAAAAATAATCTCCAGCAATAGTGGTGATAATCGATTAACAGCTTTCTAAATGTATGTTCCTTTTCACCTTTCTATCTCTGGGTTTTAGACTGTCGTAAGTCATCTCAGTGTGGTGTAAATAACAACAACTGTCATCGACACAACCTCAGCAACCAATGTGTAAACAATATTTCTTTATTAAAGATTTAAGAAATTCCAAGCAGCATATTCATAAATAAAATCAGGGTCTCAGATGGACGGACAGACTTTATGCGATGACAGTTTCATCTTCTGACGGGGACTAAAGAAGGGGGGGGAACACATGGAGACACACTTCCTGTTTACTTTCTGTCTGCCGACCAATCACAGTAAGCGTTAGGCTCCTCTCAGTGCACCCGTCGTATCGTCGTGAAGTGAAAAAGCAACGAGAAAAAGCTACGGTTAGAAAACATCCACGAAGAGTCTGAGGAGACGAGTCGTCCAGCAGAAGGAAACACAAGGGACAGTTTATCTGATGCAGGAAAGAATCTGTATTCACACAGGGACACAGCATTAGCCTTCAACCCCCCTTTGGAACAACATGTGATTTATCCATGGTTTCTGAGCAGAGACATTAAGGTGGTTTCTGCAGAGTTAGAGTTAAGAGAAGATCTGACTCAACAGGATGACCTCTGACTCAAATGTCCCTAAGACAAGTCCGGATAGGACGACTCAACGGAACCGCTTTTGTTCTCAGTTACCATATGAAGAACTCTTTAAGGATTTAGAGCAAAAGGGAAGCAGATTTTACGGTTTTAGGAAACTTTGACTGAAATCAGTGCATTGTCTCTAAGAAAAGTCCTGATTGGACGATTCAACGCCAACGCTTGTTGAGCGTTTGTTGAGCGTTTGTTGAGCGTTTTCTCTCACAGTTATCATATGAAGAACTCTTTAAAGATTTAGAGCAAAAGGGAAACAGATTTGATGGTTTTAGGAAACTTAGACTCAAATCAGTGTAGTATCTCTAAACATAAAGTCTAATTCCAGCGCTTCTTGAACATCTGGATCCATTTGTTTCCACATTAAGAACTTTTGAAAAAGGTCAAGCACCAGAAGAAGTGTGTTGGTCGTAAACTTCGTCTCAAATCAATGCAGTTTCCCTAAAAATGAACATCGTATTGGATTCATTAGCGCTTAAGATTCACCAAAGTTGACGTTCACTGCTGAATCTAAAGTTAGCGTAGCTGGAAATGAATTTGAGAAATGAAGCCCTTCATTCTGTCAAGTTAGGGTACCTCTACTTTCCTCTGCAGATGTTAACATGAGGACATTTCGTAAAAGAAACCCATTAAGAGACAGCGAGCTGCGTCTCTCAGAACTCATCAGGCCCATAAATGCACATTAATTGCACTTATGAAGGCAGAGGAAGGAGGGCGTGTGGTTTCATATATCCTGTTGTCCACAAAGTTCATCATACAGTATTCTATAAAGGAAAAACAATCTTTAGCAAACATAATGAGTCCCTCTATATTACAGCAGTTGAGGGATGGCGCCTGCAGCTCTGATTGCACTTTGGATAATGGATCTCGTTGGGACGGGAATATCTCACTCACTCTGAGCGACTAAAATCACTGCACTGCTCTGCAGGAGAAACACAACCTGTATACAAGGGTCCACATTAAATTCTCTAGTATCAAAAAGTAAAGACATATCTATATAGCTGATAGTTCTTTCTACAGGACTTCTTTCTTCAGGTTAAATATAACAAATACAAAAAAGGCTGGAGACTGTTAGGCTGCGTTCACGAAAAGAAAACCCCGAACACATAGAGTACGCTAAAGAGGAATGGCAACCAATGAAAGAGCTTCATGAAGATAAGTGCCAACAAAACACACATGTTTTCAAAATCTGGACAAAGTCAACAAAGTTTTGGTTCCAACATTTAGGAATGAATGGCTAAAGACCCGGTGGCTCTGCAATGGTTTAAAGTTACATTTAAAGAACACCTTGGACTCGGTAACCAATGGAAACCAACATGTTGTGTTGAGTACAAAAACCTCAGGAGATCACTTATTCTACATGCTTTTAACAAACTTCAAGGCCCAACGTTTTCGGTCATCCTCTTCCTCTTCAGAGAGAACATAGGTATTTAAGACAGGTATCGGACAGTAGAAAGTGCTGGTATTTATACATCTTTATCAATAACCCATCTGTTAATACCTTTCGGAGATGAATTGGGACAAAATGCCCAAAGCGTAATCTCCAAAGTCAATGCTTTTGGGTTTTTAAGGAGTCAATTGAACTGCTCAATTAAAAGGAAAGTATAAAAGTTAAGGGTCCAAATTGAAGAACTAGAGATCATCAATCTTTGTACCAAACTTCATGGTTATCCGTCCAATGGTTGCTAAAATATCTCAGCATCAAACTAAGACATTTCCCAATGTTCTGGTTTCCGGTATTTAATAAGGAACTAGAATTGCATCTAAAATGCATTTTTAAAAACATAACTTTGTGATATTGATTCTTATTGTACAACATGACTGATATCTGGTGACAGTGCATCTGCAGCATCACATGTTCCCACTGAGGCCAACCTTAGATGATCGATGAACAGAAACCAAACCAAAAAGTCACCATTTCCCGACGGTTCGTCCCAATAAACCGCCAGCGAGCGCAGCCTAAGAGTCTCTCCTTCCTCCTCGTTCTGACAGCCCAAACCCAGACAGTACGAATGCCAAAAGAAGAAGCTACTTTAAAAAACAAACCACTAAGCCGTGTGTAAAATATGAACCC